CTTCAGGAGGCGTTGTTTGCAGGACTTGGGTGAGAGGACCCGGCAGGAGGGGAAGGGAGGACCAAAGCAGTTCCAGCACCCTCTGCCAGCCTTTGGGTCTCCACGTTATGGCTGGAGGCTTTGGTCTCCACGTCTTTTTAGCCTTTCAGTTCTTGAACTTGCTCAGCTCCAGCTTTGCCTTCAGGCTCCTGTCCAGCCCTCACCGAACACCTCCAGCCCTGAACCAATCCACTGATCTCCTGTCTTCCCTTCACCTCCTGCTCTTTGTCACTGTAATGTTAATGCAGCAAGAAAGAAGTTAGAATGCATTGGTATTTCTGCTTTGTGGTGCCAACGGCGAGGGGAAGAGAGCCTTAGACAACTGGAGGGAGAACAGCAGCACACCTGCACTCTGCGCGCCGTGTCCCCAGCACGCCATCCCCAACTCTGGTACACCAGTGCTCCTCGCTTCGCTGCTCTTCCCACCCCCGTTTCACAGGTCTTCACCGAGGCTTACAGAGGAAAAGCTGGCCGTGGGGGAACCAGAGTTCTGACCTAGTCCGCTGGCTCTGGAACCTCTCTTCACTGTTGCACCTCCCACTGGTGTAGCAGGACGAATCTGCGTGGCAGCTCACTCTGGCCTGGCCTGTGCGTATGGATTTACTTGAGCCTGGGGCGGCAGTGATTGCCGGCAAGAATTTGCTGACACCTTGACCCTAGGAGTGTCTAGTCTTGACACTCCTCAAAGTGAATAAATATTAGTGAAGCCTCTGTGCCAGAACTGTGCCGGGTGTGGGAACCCCAGGTGAAAAGCCGCGTATCCCTCAGGCAACACGTGAGACCATTATCTGTCCTGAGAACCTGGCTGGGCTGGACATGAAGCATCCAGGGAGCTTAGCTGAGCCAGGGTGAGAGAACCTCATGGAGGGAGTGAAGGAGAGCGAGGAACTCTGAGGCCGAAGGTGCTTGGGGGAGCCAGTTGACCTAAGGGCATGGGGCCAAGGGACAGGAGAGAGACACGGAACCCTCGGGAGCTGTGCAGTAGACAGAAAGTAGCCACCGAAGGATTTGGAGCAAGTGAGTAGCACCATCAGCTCTGTATTCTAAACAGGTCACTTAGTCAGCGGTGAGGAAAGAAAGTCTGAGGGGACGGAGGATCCCCATGGGAGATACACCAGTGAGGGGAGTGTAACCCCAGTGGGTGTGAACTTGGTCACTGGTTGGGAAAGAGAAGAGTCAGGGACTCCCAGGCTCTGGCTCTGTCCCTAGGACACTGTGCCTGGTGAGGCTGTCCCTCTTGAAACCCAGCCCTGAGCCTTAGCCTGCAAGCAACCAAAGGAGTACTGTTTCCCACGCCCCACCCTCTGGTGGGCGAACTGCTACCTGCAAGTATACAAGGCCATTCCTAACTCAGAAAAGGGGAGAGGGGAGTGTCTTTTATTTTTTTGTTAGGAAGCATGACAAAATGGGGGAGACCAACCATTGTCTCACCCATCACACACAATTGCTGTTGTAATGTCCTGTTCTTTGAGGGAAAAAATGTTTGCAAGGCTGTGCTCCATCCTGTCTTTACCACAGAACTCTGTATGTCTGATTTAAAGGTGGCCCTTAGGTAGAGGTGTCCACCTGGGGAGCCCCAAGACACCACCCTCCCTGCCTGAGTGCCCCTCATTCCTGTCTCCCTCCCAATCCAGGACTGGCCAGCCAGAGGGCCTATTGTAGTGGGAGAGCAGAGAGCCAAGGCAGGGTCTCTCTCTCCCCTTGCAGGGGACAGTGAAGGCCCTGGAGAGGGGAACCTGCTGCTCAGTCCCATGGGGGACAAAGCAGAGCAGAAGCTCCCACCAGACAGCAGGGGAGACAGGCAGAGGGGAGAGTGGGCAGCCTCTGAATTCTCAGGAAGAAAAGGTGAGGCCTGGCTCGCTGCCTTTCTAGGCCAGAAATTTGGGGGATTTGTAGTAACAGGAGGCCCCAGCCTCCACAGGTAGAACAGTATTGGGTTTTCTTAACAGCTTTATGGAGGTATAATTAACATACCATAAAGTTCATCCATTTTTAGTATGCAATGCAATGATCACCACAGTCCAGTTATAGGGTATTTTCCTCTCCTGAGAAAGTTCCCTCATGGCCCTTTGCAGTCTCTGTCCCTACCCCCAGCGCCAGGCCACCACTATCCTGCTCTCTCTCTCTCTACAGATTTGCTTTCTTTGGACAATTTCATATAAATGTAATCATACAGTCACTTAGCATGTTCCCAAAATTCATCCATGGCCCCTTTGTTGTTATTGTGAATACCATTGCACTGTCTATGATGGACCACATTTGTTTCTCTAGTCACTACCTGCTGGACATTTGAATTCTGTGCAATTTTTGGCTGATATGAATAATGTTACAATGAGCATTCACTGAATAAGTTTGTGTATAGACATACATAGGTTGTCATGATTCATAGGTTTAGAATTGCTGAATCATAAAAGTTTAGATTTAACTTTTTAAGAAAATGCCAAGCTCTTCCACAGTGGCTATACCATTTTTCTTTCCTACCAGCAATATCTGAGGGTTCTGGTTTCTCTGCATCTTCACCAACACATTACTATCTTTTTTATTATAGCCATCGTAGTGAGTGTGAAATAATATCTCATTATGGATGTAATATGCATTTCTCTAATGACTGATGGTGTACATCTTTTTGTATGCCAAATGAATATTTTATGGTTTCTCCAGAGAAATGTCTATTCAAATCTTTGGCCCATTTTTTAAATTGAGTTCTTACTGAGAGCTCTTTATATATTCTGGATATGAGTCCTTTATCATATATACTTTGTAAACATTTTCTCCCAGTGTATTGTCTATACATTTTCTTAAGAATGTCTTTTGGAGGGCAGAACTTTATAATTTTGATAAAGTTCAGTTGATCTTTTTCTTTTTTCTCTTATGTACCTGCTTTTGATGTTGTGTGTAAGAAATCCTTTTCCTAACCTAAGGTGACAGAGATTTTTCCCTTTTCCTCTAGAAGTGTTACACCTTTAACTCTTATATTTAGGGTTATAGTCCATTTGTACAGTAGTTCATTTTGGTGTCTGTTGTGAAGGTCCAACTTCATTCATTTGCACGTGGATGTCCAGTTGTCCGAACACCACTTGTTGAAAAGACTATTTATTCCACACTGAATTTGCCTTTGTCAAAAATCAGTTCACCATAAATGTAAGGGTTTATTTCTGAACTGTCAGTTCTGTTCTCTCCATCTATCAATGTGTGAAGGCAGTACCATACTGCCTTAATTACTGTAGTTTTATGGTAAGTTTTGAAATTGGAAAAATCCATCCTCGGATTTTGTTATTTTTCAAAATTGTTTTAGGTATTTTGAGCCCTCTGCATTTCCATATAAATCTTGAAACCAGATTATCCCTTTCTGCATAAATAAAAATCATATTGGAATTTGAAAGGAATTGTATTGGCTCAATTCAGAAAGAATTGCCATCTTAACAATACTGAATGTTTCAATCTATGAACATAGAATGGCTCTCCATTTAGTTTTATATTTTTAATTTTTCTCAGCAACATTTTATAGCTTTCAGCATATATCTTGTATTTCCTTTGATATTTATTTCTAAGTATTTTACTATTTTGATGTTACTGTGAAAGGAACTTTCTTAATTTCATCTTCAACTTGTTTATTGCTAGCATGTAGACATACAGTTGACTTTTCTAGGTTGATCTTATAGCTTGTGTCCTTGAAGGACAATATTTTTGTGAGTTAGAGGTGCGTGCAGTGTTACCAAGGGAATCACTGGCCCCCTTGGTAGCTGGGAGCTCATACCCATCTCCCATGTGCTGCAGGGGCCTCCCCTTCAGCCCCTCTTTGCAAAATAAGCACATCCAAGAATAAAGGTCACTTCACGAAAGGGCAGTAGTACCTAACTATTGAGCAGCTCCATTTGGAAGTTACTTAAACCAGCTGAAATCCGCACTCCTGTACCTTCTGTCTACTGGTCTGGATCAGCTCTCTGGGGCAAGGCAAACAACTGTTCTTCCCTTCCTTGAGACACGACTTCCTCATCAGCTCCTTCACTGGGACCCCAAGGCTCTGAGAGCAGCCAGCCTTGTCTGACCTGTATGGTGAGGGCACAGTAGGACCACTACCTCCTGTCACCTGAACACCCTGGTCCTCTTTGCTGCAGCCCCACACTGCACTGCTCTCTCAGTGTCCACATAACACTTTCTTCTCAATACTATACCTTTATGTCAAAGTAGACATTAGTTAGAGGTATAACAGTTTTCCTCGATGTTATCTGCAAATGCCTCTGGAACACTTGGTAGGTCCCTTTTGTGGCGGAGGAATGCAGAGAAGTGGCCCAAGCTCCAGTCTTGCATTGAGTCCTTTTGGAGCTCAGTGCTTCAGTGAATTTCTCTATCAGTGCATGGTTCTGGTACAACATTTCCCATTGGCGGTGTGCTGATGTGCAGAATGATCTTTAGGAAATACATGGGACATGACGATAAATAATGTCAACTCACAGTGAGAAAATTGCTGTTTTTTAAAGATCTTCAAATCTCCCTGATTATGGCAAGGAGAAAGTCTGTCAGTGTTAGTGTTTTTAACACCTTCTTTAACCCCTGGTAATCCCCCCATGCCTATCCACACACACACTGCTCCTTTTCAGTGAAGAGCATGAGCGCAAGCTATGGGAAAATAGCGTAATTTAATAATACTTTCCTTTTCACTGTATGTATATTATTTATAGCAAGTGACACTTTTTCCATTTACAGTGTTATAAAGGTAGTGAACTAGAAGTGGTGTACCGGTGACTGAGCTAAAGGTGGTTTGGGATATCCCACATACAAGAGGCTCTGGTGTTGGGTAACGCCCGGTACTGACACTTAAGCCAGGCTTCTGGGTCTGCCGTGAACTTGCCCAGTGACCCCCTTGAAGCTGCCTACACACTCTGGGAGCCACTGTATCCCTGGGCGCCGAGGTGTGGCTGTGGATACTATCTAACATTGGACACTCAACCCTCCCGTAGGTGCGGCGGGCTGGGACTGGTGCTGGCCAGCGCGGGCTTCGGCATGCTGACAGCGCCCATCATCGAGCTGCACAACCAGAAAGGCTACTTCCTGCACCACATCATCTTCGCCTGCTGCACGCTCATCTGCATCATCTGCATCCTCCTGCTGCCTGAGAGCCGGGACCAGAGCCTTCCCGAGAGCATCTCCAATGGGGAGCACTACACGCGGCAGCCGCTCTTGCCACACAGGAAGGGTGAGCAGCCGCTGCTGCTCACCAATGCCGAGCTAAAGGACTACTCAGGCCTACACGACGCAGCAGCGGCCGTCGGGGATGCGCTGCCCGATGGCGCTACAGCCAACGGTGTGAGGTCCTGTGGCTCTGGGCGTGGTCTGCCCTGAGGGGCGTCTGGGTCCTGGGGTGGGGTTGCTTACGCATAGGCTTACAACACGTGGCTGCTGGCTGCAGCAGGCAAACAAGGCTGTGACGCCTCTGGGGCACGGGACCTTACACTGGTGTGGGGAATTCTTTCCAGAACTCTAAGGATCATGTGTGAGGAAGCAGACTCTTCGGAATTAAGACTTTCTTTTCTGCCATTAAATGTTCGTATTTATTTTGGTCATTTTTACGAGAAGCACTTTATTCCCTTTCCTCTCACTGACCTTGAAATAGAACCACCTCCTTCGAAAGAGGGACCCAGTCGCCCCAGCGCTGCAGCCGGTCTCCCTGCAGGTCTGCCGCTGTCGCCCACCACCCCCTGAGCAGCCAGAGGCCACCTCTGCTGCTGGAGCCGCACCCATGCTGCCTGCCTGTATGCAGACACCTACCATGGAGCAGTTCCCAACTGCAGATTAGACACTGAAATGTAAATGAAGAGGTGTTTACTAGGGAGTCTGTTATGGTTTGTAACGTGTTTTCTGTTTGTAAGGTCAGAGCTTCTGTTACGTGTTTTGGGGGAAAGCAGCTCACAGATATCATTAAAACCAGCTTAGTCTTTCCTTCGAGATCATCCTTTGGTACTTCATGCTGGAAACTGTTTGGGGAAAATCTTAAACATGTAACCACCCATCTTAAATAATTAGTGGCAGTGTCGCCAGTTTGCGGACCAAGTTTGCCTAGTTAAGGTCACAACTAGCAAATGTGTGGAAGTCTGAGACATGTTAGCATTAATGCGCCTTCTCAGACTTGGCTCCAGCAGAAAAGTTCCCTCTTTCACTATCAGCTTTTTTTCCAGAACTACTTGAAAATGTGGCTACTTTCTGAACTGAAACCAATAGGATAAGAACTGACATAGACGACTAAGGCAAACCCACAGGAGGGAGGGGTGCGCTCCCAAATATGGCCCTTCACGCACAACCGGAGCACACACCACATGGACACCACCAGCTTGGATGACTGTCAGCTCTCACTAATTTCACGCTGAGGGACTGCAAAGCCTGTGGGAGCTGGTCCTCTTCATGCCTGCCTTTGCCTGCTTCCTGCCATTTCTGTCAGCACAGAGGTGGGGCTTAGGGCAAGGAGTGGGATGCTCACCTGTTAGTCCAACTGACCTCCTGCCTCTTAAAGCATCAAGACGAATTGGGAGAAAGCAATAACTCACCAAAGTTCAGCTCCCACCCCGTGCCCAATATCCAAGAGTTTTCATTGTGTTCTTCATTTTGTCCCGCAAGAAGGCTTCCTCGTCCCTTTCACGTCAGGCTTTCTCCACCTGTCAGGGGGGATTTCAGAGGAAACTCGGAAGGCTTCCTCAAGGACACACAGGGGCCACTAAAAAACAAGCTTTAATGGCACAGGCAGGCACCACCTTGTAGCAACTTAGGCACCTGATTATTTTAGACAGCCTGGTTCTTTCTAAAATTGTCTACCCCCTCCTCCCCGCCCCCCTCCCAGTTTGTGACATGGGCTGTGGCTGTTTTTCCAAAGTAATCGTAGCCTCAGGTCTGTGAATCAGGTGACCTCCAACTGACAGTTACTATAACTCAAAGGGCCTGAAAAGGGGTTGACTTAACTTGCCTTTCTCCCCTTCTAGCTTTCTACGTTGTCTGTGTCTTTCTCTCTCCACCCACCATCTCCTCCAAATCTGGTAGACATCAATAGGAGCCTGCTGACTTGATAAAAATACAGTGAGGAGGTGAACAAACTGGCAAGCATGTGCGATTCCAGTGAGTAAACCACACTTTCTCTGTCAATCAATGGGGCCTGGGATCTCCAGCTTCATCCAAGGGCCACTGCTTAAGAAGGAAGGGCAAGCATCTGGCCAATCTCCCTGTTCCAGCCCAGCTCATCCTCGCCTTCTCTCATCTAGGTCACTTTTGTTCCATGTTTCAATGTTAGTCCACATTCACCTTACTTTAAAAAGGACTTTCTTTACAAATGTGCAGCCTTTGCGTGCCAAACTTGTGAAATACCTTTTGCCTTTTTTAGAGTACTTGCTACAAAGCTACCTGGCAGCAAGATCCATTAAGTCCAGGACATGTCATATGCAGCAGCCAAGCCACTGGGCAGTTGAGAAAGGTGGGCAGGAGCCAGTGAGGTTCTGGGCCAGCCCCTGGCCAGGTGTATTTCTGCATTTATCACCCCAGCACTAGGACACCTTTCAGTCCCTTCACTCTACTACAGAAGGACTTGTGAGTCTTCACTCGCTGATCACAGAGACCTTCTTTAAGAACTGCCCTGAAGCTGTAGAGTGCTGCCAGTAATGTCTGAGAAGGTGGAGGGAAGGCACAGCACTTAGACACTCCTGTTCCAAGGTCTCTGATCTCCATCCTAAATGACAGAAACACTTGTCCAATGGAGATAACGTTGTCACTTCAGCAATCAGGACTAACTCACAGGTGACAAGAGAAGCAAGCTATGAGGACTGGGCTCTTGGACTGAGGTCTAGCAGCTGTGAATGATGCCGAGAAGCCAACGATCAGTAGGTGGTATCTCTGGGCAGAGGTCCCACAGCTCTTTTCTCCAGGCGGCCTCATGATTAGGCTGAGCTCTTCTGTTGCTGGTTTAGCTTAAGGCTCTCTGAAGCTCTTGAGGAACACCTTTATGAAATACAGCCAAAGCAGAAAAGCTTCCCTGTGGGCTTAGCCCCGTGAAGTCCCACACCAAGTGGGCAAGGCAATAAGGACCCACCCAAGCCTGATACAGGTCCCGGGCCTGCCGTGCTCTGCATGGAAGGGGCTGCAGCCACCAGCTCCCTCGTGGCTGTTGGTTGTGCTTGGACTCCTCAGTCCTGTTTCCTTCGTGGTCACTAAGAAAACAGTTCTCAGGCATTTCAAGTCCGCCTCCCCACCACCTCCTCCCCTGCCCGGGGAGACACATCCAGGTATGTGCTGCAGCTATTCTCCTCCACCAGCCACGCCTACATCCTGCTATCCTTTCAGGGAGCTGGGATCCCTTTCCATAAAAGTTATGCACAAATGTGAACACCCAAGGCAGGGCTGGACAGGTCTTCATTTCCTTTTCTGGAAGTCAGTAACATCGAATACCTGAAGTACTAGCACCCAAGACAAAAAGGAAAAAGTTTTGTTTTGTTTTCTGAAAGAGTATAATTAACTTGCAACTAGAGGAAAGGGACTGATAAATTGTTTTGGCCACAGACCAGAAAGCAAAAATAAACCTCGTAAAGGGAGTATTGCACTCAAAACAATACCACTTCCTAGAGCCAAACAAGAAATGACTGAAGTGCCATTAAATGAACTGTGACCATAGCGTTGCCCAGCCCCTAGGTGGCGCACGGGGCACGCACGTGCTGGGGAAGGCCCACACTTCACTTTCCTTTCAAGTACTCCTCGCTTTACTGTATTGTGTTTTGGAAAAGCAGCACAGTGTATTAAGTCTAGTGGGAATACTTCCCTCTGTCCTTTCAGCCACCCCCACACTTGAGGTTTCTAGTCCGAACCATGTTACTGTACATGTCAACCGGGATCAATCTGGAGGTGCTCATTCATAGCACAAGCCTAAATCAAGTTCTGAACTGTGTTGTTCAAAGCTAAATGTCTGCATGATGTCACATCTGTTGTACCTTTGGGGAAACTTTGTATGTAAATGTACAGAAATAAAAATATTGCCCCATTAACAAATTTCCTCTGGAATGTCTTCCCTACCTCATCTGATGGTATCCAATGAAGGGCATTTCACAACCATTGACTACAAGTAATAAAAACTCTTTATTCAGATATTGCTGTGTCCCTGTTTTAGCGCCTCTGTAAACCAAGACTTCACTCAGCCCAGGAACGGTGGGTGGCCTCTCCTCTGTGGGCAGAGTCCCAGTCTTAAAGACAGGCAGAGGCAGAGGCAGAGGCAGGAGTAAACAGAAATGGTTTATTCAGAGCCACTCTCAGACCACCTGAGAAATGGCAGCCATCAGTAAATTTGAGTTCTTTTGTATATTCATGTCCTGCTATTCGTGGCCTGCAAGTTCCTAGAAAGGTCGAGAAATGATTGTCTCACACTGTGATTCTGTGAGGAAAGACTGATAACCCAAAACACTCTTCTTTAATGTAGTATTTTTTAATAAGAAATCAATGTTTCTTTAATAAAGTTTTATACCAAACTCTTCTCTCCATAGCCCTGATTTTGTGTTACTTACTCTTCTTAGAGAGGTGCCCACTGTGCTTCCAAGCGCTGATGATGTTGGCTAAGACCTCGGAGGTTGGCACAGGAAGTCTGCTAAGGAGGGAAGCATCTTACACCCCACATCTACTCCTCTGAAATGCCTTTATGCCCTGGCCAAAGTGTCACCACCCCTGGCTGCTGACCACTGGCTCAGTGCCTTCCACCACTACATGGAAGTGTTACAGAGCCCTAAACTATCCCCCTCTAGTAACAAAAGAGGTCCAGATGAGCCCCAAAGACTACAAAGCTCTTAAGTCAGTGGTCCTCCACCTTGCCTGGGCTGAGAAGCACCTGAGGAGCTTTTCAACCCCACCAAAGCCTGGGCCCCTGGCCATCTGCGACTCTGGGAAAAGGTCATGCACATTCAGATATGATGCCAAGGTTAGAAGCCACTGACCCATGAAATACTGGCTTTTGGAAAAAGAAGTGGGAAAAAAATTTAGCACTTGGTATTAGAAAGGTCAGAATCTACTTCAAGTGGTAGAAAAAGCTAAGGATTAAAGATGACTTGGGACTTGGGGAAAAAGAAGAAAGACAGGAGGAGCAAGCATTTGGATCTACAAACACAAAATAGATAAAACCTTAATTGACAGCTTAATTGTCATGGCTCTTACAGTTTGCAAAGTATTTCTGTGTATTTAATCCTAAAAATAACCCAGCACAGTGCAGATGATTCTCACTGTATAGGAGAGGAAACAGGGCCCAAAGTAGTTAGAGCCTTCACCAAGACGACAGGTCTAGTGAGCAACGAGGAGTGGGGATCCAACCCAGGCCCAAGGGAGAACACAGCAGGGGAAGGGCTTATTACCTCAACTTTCATTGGGGATGGACATAACAGAGTTATGGCTAATTTACCCTTCAATCCAGTTAGCCCCCTTCAATCCCAACACAGTCACAAGGAAACTACTGCCCATTTTGCTTTCCTCCTTCCCCAGTTTGATCAGTTAGAGCCCTATGGCCCACAGTTTGTTGAAGCGAAGAAGGAAAATTACTAAGATTAATACTTTGAAAACAAAATGTAAACACATTAACCTGGTGACAAACAGTGAAATTCAGTTCATTTATTTAAATGTATATTGTACATAAGTTATAAATCCTCACTTCTGCCACTCAGCTAGAACTTTTCGGGAAAAGCCTCCATTTCTTCCTTGATCCTGTTTTCTACAAGTAATGCGAAGTTACTGTCTGTATTTTGTAGGTTATAGCTGACAAACACCTGCTTGTTGGTCTTCCTGGCTAAAACGAGAAAACACAATGACATGCTATGATTGAAATACCTGGAGATTCTGTGCCTCAGGCCTACCTGACAGCAAGAAATACTTGGGAAAAGACAATGGGCTTTCAAGGAGAGAGAAGAAAGTTCTAATTTTTATGACTTCACGGGCATCTGCTGCAAATGCAGACCAAAATTTGGACCCTATCTAAGTCCCTAGAAGAGTGGTTCTTAAAGTGAGGTCCCCACATCAGCGGCATCCCCTGGGAAGTCGTTAGGTACACACATTCTGGGGCCCCACTCCCCAGGCCGACTGAATCAGAAAAGCTGGGGTATGCCCATGGGACCTCCAGGGGATCCAAATACTATCACTTAAAGAGCCACTGCTCTACACACACTATTGGTTTGTTTCACTTTTCAGAAAACATCGATAATATTAAAGTATTTAAAAGAAAATACTAAAGTTCTCCTTCAGTGCCATCCTCTCTACCAATTCCTAGAGATAATCCTACATTTCTTATTTCTGTGCATATACACAGATACACACACATACATACATATATATATATGTGTGTGTGAACATACACATATACACACAAATGTCTAATTTTCAACTTGATGTTGAATATGTTTAGCCCCTTTCTACAGAACCAATAATAGTTAAAGTGTACTGCTTCAACTACAGAAATCAATATGAAAGAAAGACACGTATCCTGAAGCCAAGCCGGGCAGTAAGCCTGAAGCAGTTATATATTGTGTCTGCACCAGCGATGGGACCTCCTCCCTCAACCTCACACCACACACAAGGCAGGTGCAATTCCTCCTCCCAGCAGAGCTACCCACCCATCCTCCCACCCCATGGACTTCAGATGACCACACTAACCCCAGTACCAAAGGCAAAAAAGATGGTGAGGAGAGGTGAGGCTGGTACCTGTCAAGTCATACCCGCTAAGCCTGCCCTCGTTCAGTGGCAAGAAACTCCCTGTCCCAAAGGCAGGGCTACTCTGATGCCAAGCGCTCTACTTGCTAGGATGGGGTCTTACAGGGAGCAGAACTGTATCTGCCTCCATCGTCTACCCAGCAGTCCCAGCTCTGGCCTCTAGAGCCACACAGAGTAAGGGGTCCCCATCCACATTACAGACTCCAATACTTCCAGGGTCACTCTGAACCCTCTCGATCATCTCTTTTCTGACTTTTTTTCATCTTCCATAGAAGATACTGTTCAGGACACTGCTCTCCTCTCAATCCCCCTTCTAGACAACTGACAATGGCTAATAATGCATTTTCAACTAATCTGCAAAATAATAGTGCAGACTGATGCATTTTTAATAGCACAGGGCTGTACTGGACAGTGCCTTTGTGATCTCAGCCGTTGGTGATGCCAGCAGCCACATCACACCTCTGACTTTTCAAGCTTTTTCCATGTGCCTGTCCTTATCAGGCAATGGCTGAGAGCGGCCAGTTTATGCTAATACAGGCAGAATGGGAAACATCATTCATATTTGAATTTAATAAGATGGTAAGGATATTATTTTTTGTCTCTGTTCTGTTTCAACTGATGTAGATTATTATAAAGTGATGTAAACCATGTGAGGAAAATGTTAATTTTAAAAAGCCCCAACATAGGCACAAAACTCAAAAAAAAAAAAGCCCCTTGTTTTTTACGTACAAACTACTACCACACATCCTTCTTATGGACACCCCCGAGCCTACTTACTTTTTTTGACATATCTACTTATTCATAGCTCACCAAACGAGCTCCTGCCACCCTGCGCTACGAGAATCTGTCATCCACACTGTGGTAATCCACCCATTTTCTGGTCTAAAACCATCAACATCCCCATGTCTTCACCAGAGTAGCCAGAGCACACAGCGGTCTTTGTGACATAGGAGTGTCACCCCTTAAATGCTGACAGTCTACGGTGAAGCATGCGGAAGAGTCATGTCTTTGACTCACTTTCATGTGCTTCAGAGAAAAACGATGTGAACATAGAAGGAATGATGACAACTGAGAATCTGGGCACAGCCTAAACAGGAATTCTTTGTATCTTTTTTTGTAACTTTTCCATAAATTTAAAATTCCTAATAAGAAGTTACCAAACAACTTACTAGTCAGGTTTCTCTAATTTCAGGCTAAAGAAAAAGACTACTTTTTAGCAGCCATCCTCACGGTCTGCACCCTGTGCATGCAGAGAACTCCGTGCAGCAAGTCTAGAATCACCTGTCCTCAACCTGACAATGATACCCGGGCTCCCCAAGAACTGCGTGGGTGCATTCCAGAGTGACAGACATACACGTCCCCACATATCAGGGATCAAATGGACAGAATTTCAACACAACTACTGGGTAAAATATAGGGGCCGGGCCGTATTCGCCATACACCCCCAGCACCAGGACACTAGGCCTCTATAACTGGCTCTGTAACTCAACAGACTGGGAACACTGGTGACCATGAAGACTGAAGAGGAGACAGAGGCTGTCCTACATCTGTTTTGAGAATCGAATGAAATGACAAGCAGGAGTATCCTGCATGAAATCTGTCTACATAGAAAGCAGTTGGCAGAGAAAGGGAGTACTGTTTAAGGCTCCTGGGCACCCTGTGATGAGCAGGTGATTGGCCACACTGGCTGAGGGCAAAACACATGCTGCTCTTACCTGAACTACCTGGGTATTTATACGAAGTGTTTGTTTTGGGGAGTAAGGGACGGCGGACCCTTCAACCTCACGTTCTTGCTTAACACCCGCTCCGTGCCACAGGCAGGCCAGGCCAATCTCCCCTCTGAACTCTGAATGACATCACAGGGAGAGGACAGCCCCTCGTGCACGGCGCTGGCACGCTGCTCCACAGGCTCCACTGAATCCCCAGAAGGCCCAGGAGGCTACCTATGGCCACTGCCCACTGGGTGCTGTGGGCATCATTCACTCTCCCCCCATGAGGAGTGATACGCTTACAGAAGGGAGCTGAAGCACCTGTCATTCATCAGCTTGAACAGCAGCCAAGGCACAACATGGGAGTCCCCTAGGAACATGCTGACCCTGAGACAGTGGCGGTACCATGCGGGCGTGGGTGTGCCTTCCTAAAGAAGACACAATATACAAAGGTCTGGGCTTACCCTATGGTGACGAGTTCATTTATCTCTCAGTAGAAAGATTCTTTATTTCTAAAGTGCCTTGCCTCAGGGTTCCAACGATGAGGCCCCATTTGGTCACTCTTGCAGCACCCGCCATGGGTACGTACCTAAGCGCTGGGCAAGGCCAGTGGAGGTCGTGTCGGAAGTGTCTCCGAGGAGGGAGGTGGACACAGGGATGGAATCCTAAAAGGAAAACAGAGAATGCAATGCCGCTTCTCCATCAACCAAACTTCTGTCGCTTCTGATTCTTCAGCTTCTGATTCTTCATGAGGGCAGCAGTGGCACGTCCTGGGGAGGTTGGACGCATTCACCAAGAGAAGGAAGGTCTGGCATCTGTGTCAACAGCCAGGCAGGTTGACCCTCTGAGGCATATGAGGTCACCTGAAGCTGGAATCACATTGCTGTCAATAAGTTCTCAGAATTATTTCACATAAACGGCTTGTTTTAATTCCAAAGCACGCTGAAGGGCAACATTACAACCAAGAGGAAAGCAAACAAGGTCACTAAGGCCGCGGCGGGAAGAAAGCAGTCAGAGTCTGGGCGCCAAGTGCTCCAGGTCCCTCTCACCCGGGGCTGCAGTGGAGAAGGCAGGACCCCTCATCTCCTCACCTGGACCTGTAAGACAACACAGAGCTCCATTCCCCTCAGGGTTGCTGGGCTCTTCTAGGCCAACGAAGGCCCTATGACTTTGCAAAAGGGGACCAGCCATCAGCCTCCAGATAGTGAAAATAAAAACTTGAATATGCTGGTAAATTCTCATATCAGCTAAGAAGCAATAAAATTAAAAATAAACAAAAATGGCCCTTCTGAACTCTAGAGATAATCTTACTTCCAATTACTTTGAAAGTACTCCCCCTTAACATTAAAAAGGCGAGCTGAAAAGGAAAAAACTCACTAACTTATAATATGGCCAAAGTTACTTTTACTATGAGCAGAGCACAGATTAGAGACTGCTCCTTATCTCCTAAGGGTTCAAAATTACTTCAATATGAGACAGAATTCATTTATGTCTATTAAAAAATGACAAGAATTAAAGCACTTACTACATGCTTTTTTTCTTGAAAAAGATACAAAAATATGGTCTTAATTATTGAATTTGCTTTTTATAGATTTCAAGTTCCACATTTTAATTGCTAATAGTATTTACAGTTAAACCTCCTGAAAACAGAAAATCTACCTTAACAGGGTGACCAAAAACAGAACTAAAATCCCCATACTGTTACCTTTTTTAATAGTTTATTATTTCTAAAATCATACTATGTCAAGATGGTCTCCCAGGGAGACACATGCATAGGCAGTTCACCGTGGCCAGAGGACTACCTGCCACTCACCCACGTGGGCCAGGCGCATCCTAGGTTATCTGAGCACAGAGCATCCCACCCCCATCTTCCCTGGACCCTGCATCATCCTAGTTCTGCAGTTTTTCTTGGTGCCACAAACACACTTGCTTGATGCAAGGTCAGCCAGCTGGAAGAGCAGCACAGTTGTCTGGTTTTGTTCTCCATGGTCTAGTTTTACAGGCAGGGGATTGCGGGGAAGGGAGGAGGAAGGAGACCTCACAGAACCTTCAGTGCCATCCTCCGCTCATGGGCCAGTAAACTTTTTCTAAGAAGGGTCAGACAGTAAATACTTTAGTTTTTATGGACTACAAGGTCCAATAGCAACTGCTCAACTCTACCATCAATGAGCAAAAGCTGTGACAGACCCTACTAAATGGATGGGCACAGCTGTGTTCCAACAAAACCTCATCACAAAAGTAGACACGAGCCAGCCCCCAAGCCACAGGAATCCTTGTTTTCCTGCCTTAAGCTACAGCCTGCACCTCTTCTCTCCAGCTGGCCCAGTCCTCTGCCCCCGGAGGGCAAAGTCTGGGCACACTGTGGCCAGTCAGGCAGAATGATTCCTTTTCCTGCCCCAATCTTGATGTAAGGTGACTTTCCAGTTGAGAAAATACACCCTACTAAGAGCTATGACAACCAAGTGGTCAGACCACCAGAGCCACCCACAGGAGGGGCCTTGAAACTAATTCAAGGAATCAATGCCTGGTCTTACCAATGAGCAGTACTGGTCCCCATATGACCCACAGCCTTACACATGGTCTATGATTACACCTTAGAATTACAAAAGAAGCTGAGGTGACTCCAGGGTGTCCTGACCTCCAAACACACAGGCCCACCCATAAGCCCCTCCCCGTCTAGGCCCTCTTCCTCTCCTCCATTGAAAGAAGACCAGGAAAGAAGACCTGCCCTAAGGCCCTCCTGTTGGTACCCACTGGAAAATAAATAAAAGAAAATGCACCCAGAAAAAGAACAGCGAGAAGGAAAACACATATGAGGGAAGGGAAGAGGGACCTTGTGTGAGGACATCCAGAAGAGCCATTCAGAGTCTGTATCCTTCCCAAAGCTTTGCCCAGGTCCTGCCTCATGGCTCACTCCTCTGATTTCCCACCATCCCTGGGGCCCCTCACAGACTACAATCCTTACTGCCTGACTGGCTGCGGGTTATTGGCTGTCCTCCCTAGCCAATGGGGAGTTCCCTGAGGGTTCCTCACGTATTCATTCAACAAGGATTTAATGAACAGCTTGGCAGGCACTAGGGAGACCAAAACTCATAAAACAGACAAACCTCAACACTGACTATAAACTGCGGAGGGAGCAACCAACCACTGGGGGCCTGCCAGTGGCAGCAGCAGCCAAGAGGCCAGTGGGTGGGCAGGGAGGAGGATGCGGGCAAGGCAGCTCTCTCAAGTAACAGGGCCTGGAGGGTCACTGTAAAGTCTCTGGGCTGTGCTCTAGGTTTCTCTCTTAAAAGGTCTGGAGTAGAGGAATGACAGTAGCTAACTGCAGTCTGCTGCCCCGTGAAGAACTGGCCATAAGGTGCTGTTATGGGTTAAACTGTGTCCTCCAAAAAGATATGCCCATGGCCTAAACCCTAGTACCTGTGAACAGTGACTTCATTTGGAAATAGGGTCTTTGCAGAAATAATTAAAATATAAGTTAAGGTGAGGTCATACTGGAGTAGGATGGATCCTTAATTTATTATGACTGATGCCCTTGTAAAAAAGGAAGATACACATAGACAGAGACACTCAGAGAAGAAGGCCATGCGACACTGGAAACCGAGACAGAAGTGATGACGCTGCAAGCCGAGGAGCCCCAGGGACTGCTGGCAACACCAGAGAGGAATGGGATGATCGCTCCCTCAGAGCCTCCAGAATGAACCAGCCCTGACAACACCTTGATTTCAGACTTCTGGCCTCCAGAACTGTGACAGAACAAATCTCTGTTTTAAGCCACCCAGTTTGCGACTCTCTGTTACAGCAGCTCTAACTAATACAGAAAGCAACAAGGGGAATCGGCCAGAGAAGAGATGCCACAAGCCTCGCCCGGGGCGGCAGACCTCAAGGAGGTGAGAGGTGACTGGATTCTGTGTATATTTTTTTTTTTTGAAGTATAGTTGACATAAAATACTATTACTTTCAGGGGTATAACGCAGTGATTCTACATTTGTATACCTTACGATATGGTCACCACAATAAGTCTCATTACATCCCCATGACTTCTTTATTATATAACTGAAAGTTTGTACCTCTTATCCCCCTTCACCTTTTCTTCACCTATCCCCTCAGTCCATCCCTTTCTGGCAACCACCAGTTTGTTCTCTGTATGGATAGGTCTGTTTCTGTTTCGTTCTGTTCATTTTTTGGTGGTTTTGTTGTTGTTGTTCCACATAAGTGAAATCTTACGGTATTTGTCTTTCTCTGACTTATTTCACTTCACATTGACTCATGTATGCTTTGACTGACAGCAGGGCTCACAGATTCACTGCCACTGGGCGTGTGGAGCACGGGAGAGGGGTATCAAGGATGACTCCTAGGTTTCGGTGGACTTACTATAACAGAGATGTGCTGGCTATGAGAGGAGCAGGTTTAAAGGAATAGGTCAAGAGTTTGGTCTTGAATATGTCTATTATGAGATGCCTATTAGGCTTCCAAGTAAAGACACAGAAGTCTGAAATTCAGGAAAGAGATCTGTACTGGAAACATAGATAAATGGTGTGGTCTACACAGAGAGGACATGAAAACTAGGAGGCAGATGCCATCCCCCAGGGTGCGAGTGTGACCGGGGAGCAGATCCCACTATGAAGCCCTTGGACACTCTAACTACAGGGATGGAAGAGAGAAGGAGCCAGCAGGGTGGCAGGAGCGGAGAAAAGGAACCTGCCTGAGGTCCCACGTGCTGCCCTGACCGTACACAGCTCCCCTAAGGTGGTGCAGATTTCAGACTGACCCCCATTCCCCAAAACATCATGGGAAGCGTTTTGAAGAGCTTCAAGGGCCCCCTAGGCCCGAAGACTTGAGGGCCACGCCCGCGCACCTAGCGGAACTGAACCTGCGGTCTCTCAAGCGGGCTCCGGGCGCGCGCCTCGAGACCCCTGCCAGCGCCCAGACCCCCAGCGCCCCGCCGCCTAGGGACCGCGTCCCCGCACCGTGTCCCTAGCCACTCTCTCCTCTCTCCCCTGTCCCAGTCGCCCAAACCCGGGCCGGTACTCACGTAGCGGCTACACATGGCCACGGCGAGGTTGCGCAGGTGCGGCGTGGCTCCCACCCACAGGAAGAGCGAGTCTGTCAGCCGCATGACATGGAAGTGGACCAGCTGCTCCCACAGCCTCGCGCTGAAGTTGTGCAGGGAGACATGCCCACCCGTGGCGGCCTGCAGTCCCTCCATGCAGGCCTGCAGGCCCGCGGCCCACTTACGCCGCGACCCAGCAGCTCCCCGTAGCAGCCCCTGGTCCGGATAGACCTGAGCAGGCGAGAGCCGAGCGACAGAGAGCGCTTTCGCTTTCTGCCGGAGCAGTGGGTGGGGCCTGGGGCGGGAGCGGGCGGGGCCAAGCAGCTAGTCCCTGGCCTTGCACCCAGAGCGTTGGCCACGCAGTGCAGCCGGCCTCTTCTCGCACTCCTGTAAATGTATGGCTGCGGGTGGGGAAAACCCGCTTCGCCATTTACTGGGGCAGGGCTGGCGTCCGCCGTGAGCTCAGGGTGCCCACCGGCGCCGGGCATGACTCGGCCTCGCTTGTTCCCTTCCTCCCCCACCCCTATTAGTGCACCTAGGAGCATTCCCGTGCTGCAGCTAGCCGCACTGGCTTCTCAGGTCGTGACACGCCCTGCAAAGACTATCCTCCCGTTTTAAGCTCTTCGAGAGCACCCACCTCCTATCATGTCATTTTGGGTTTGGATTACCAAAATCCTCCTCCTAGTAGCCCTGTAACTCAGGGAAGTCTTGAGTGTAGCTAACCTTAAGAATGGCAACAATATTGGGAGAAACCTATAAAAAGGAAAATTGCGTCGACGAAGTTGTCGGGAGGATGAGTAAACCATTTCGGCCTCAGACTCCCAGCCCCACAAGCTGCAACTGTGCTAAGCCTGAAACTTGGGCTAATACTCTCTGAGACTGTTTCTTAATCCACAAAATGGACATAAGAATAGGTTCCTCTCAGAGAAGTGGAACGGATTCTGCGCAAGTACATTGAAAGCCCAGTGAATTGTGGCCATTATCGTCCCCGCTGAGGGACCCTTTAATTTTAGTCACTTTGAGACACTAGAGACTTGAAATAAGGAAGCCTTCAGTATGCTAACAATGAATGCTTGGAAAGAAAAGAAGGTAGGGAAGGAGGAAGAAATGTTGGTTTGTGGTAAAAGCAAATAGGGCCCATTTTGTCAGATTCTGTTACAACTGACTGTTGGGTTTTAAGTCAGAATTACCACAGTTCCTTTAAAAGTTCTGTTTTTAAAATCTATACTAAGTCTAAGTTAACTAAATTAAAATTTTAAAGGGCGCAGTATTTTTACAGGTTTGTTCTATATCTAATTATCAAATGATTCAATAATACAGTTAATTTTCAGGTCAATTTCAATATTGTAAACAGCTTTATTAAGGTATAATTAACATACAATAGCTTCACATATTTATAGTATGCAAATCAAAGTTTTGACACATATATAACCCATGAAACCATGGCTACAATCAAAATAGTGAGCATGCCCACCACCCCAAAGGTTTCCTTAAGCCCCTCCCTAACCACTGATCTGTATTGTGTCATTACAGATTAATTTACATTGTCTAGAGTTTTATATAAATGGAATAATATAGTATATACAGTTTTTTTGTCTCTTTCACTTATCATAATTATGTTGAGATTCACCTAGGTCGTTGGGTGTATGAAGAGTTCATTCCTTTTTAAGGCTGAGCAGTATTCTATTGCATGACTGGCTATACCACTCTTTGTTCACTCATTCACATGTTGATGTTCATTTGAGCTGTTTCCCACTTGAAGATATTACAATAAAGCTGCTGTAAACGGATGTGCTCAAGTAAGTCTTTGTATCGACAGTCCCTCCTCTCTTTTTTACCTTGAGGACTATTCTCTTCAAGCTCTAACCCAACCCAAGCCCAAGTTCAGCAGATGGCCCTGCTTCTGATGCGCAAAGAAAATTGAAGTTATCAGGCCTGATTTTCCAAATTCCTTGCACCTCTACTCAAACCCTCATCTTCATCTGATCCCATTCTTACTTTCTTTTACTCCTCATTACACTGAGAGATGTCGAAGTTCAATTTACGCACCTGTGCCCTGACCCTATCCTTCTCTGCGTCCTCAGGAACCTCGTTCCAATCAACTCTGGTGGACTCTGAGATGTGTCATCTAGATTCACCCTCAAGAAAGGACTTGTATCAGCTTCTGGAAATACTGTTAGCAGAAAGCCATTTTCTGTGGCCTTCTTCAGAGTCTGCACACACTTCCCAGGGCAGCCCACATCCAGTGACTAAGGGAGGCAGCAGAATAAAGACCAGGCCATTTTGGCCCAATGCAGAATGTGTTGGACCATTTCCACTCCAGAATGCCTAGGGGGTCAGCTGAAGCTGACTACTACAAGAGTACTATTCACTTTGCACCATCCGAAGAAATCAAGATGGATGATCAAGAGGTTGAGTACAGTCATCTCAATAAAAATCTTATGGTCCCTTGATCAGTTTCCAGACCTGTAATTCAGTAACCGAAGAGGTAGCCAGGTCCCCTGTAACACCATGACCAAGTATACACAGTGTGACTGCCTTGCTCTTCCCCAAAGGGCCCAATGACCATTTACTCAGGTAACAGTACCCTAGGGAAAGAAGAAGACCCAAATATTTACAGGGTAAGAGTTGGAATTGAGATCTGGAGACGTGAAGTGTCATTATGGTCCTCCTCATAGAGTGGGAGCATACAGGAACCAGACAACAAATGAAGTGCTAGCCAAGGGACTGTTGGCTTTGCAGATCCATCTGGACCCATCTGGGGTCATTTGCCTGGTCCCTGAGTATATAATTGGGACAGGCATATTTGGAAGTTGGCACAATCCCCACATCGAGTCATTGGCCTATGGGGTAAGAAATATCATAGTAGAGAAAGCCAAGTGGAAGACTACGAAATTGCCCTTTTCCCAGGCAAGCAATATTGCATCCAGAGGAGGACTGTGAAAATTAGTGCCGCCTTTGAGGCAGCACTCTGATGGAAGCAAGGAAATGAATGCAGCCACTTTGACCCAACACAGTCAATATCAACAGCCATTGTCACTCTGGAGCTCTCCATGAGTCAACTGAAGCTTTTGGTCTACATCACAACTTTCCTTCTCCCTTCACCCAATCCTACTTCCTCTTTCTCCCTTTTATAGCTGTCAATTTTGAGAGTACTCTCTAATATATATTCAGCCTAAACTCTGAAAAACCCAACCTGAGACAGTCTCCTTCTGTGCTTATCTCGCTTTATGCATTCCCTGGGCAATTTCATTCGTGGCCATGTATGACTCTATAGCCAGTCTTGATCCTCTTACAGCCACATACATACCGAACTGACTGTCACTTCCTAATTGTCCCCCTAGTACCTGGACACTCAGCTTGTCCATACCCAATCTCATCATCTCTTCCAACCCCTCCTTCCTGTCCCTAAGCCCTTTCCTTTCCCTACATTGGTGAATGGACCACCACTCACTCAGTTTCCCAAACCATAACACAAGGATCTCCTCTACTGCTGCTAACAGTGCTGCCTGTTTATGTATCCCGCACGCCCCCTCCCATCGTCCACACCTGCATGGCCAGCTTGGTGCAGACCTCACCTTTCTCTGCCTGGACTGACGCTATGGCATTCTGACTGGCTTCGTTGCTTCTTGTTTTGCTGGCTTCCAATGTATCTTTCTCACTATCTCCTGAGAGATCTATTGAACAAATAAATTTGCTCATGTTATTGCCCATAATAAAAAATCCTTCATTGGTGCTTAGCCTAAACACCTATGCAGGCACACAAGGCAACTCACCCAGCTGCAGGTCTGCTTCAGGGCTAGCCCTTCCCTCACCTGCGCCTTTATGCTCTGGCAATACTGAACTCCAAGAGGTGGCTGGAAGCAACTGCCTCCATTTGCCCTGCATGCAATTGCCCACGGGTATGCCTGCAGGGGCCTGCCCTGGATTTACCTTCAGGACTCTCCTGGTCCTGAAGTTGTCCCTAACAACACCCCTGAGGGGAGCCTTCCCTCCTCAGACAGGTGGGCTGTGTGGTCTCCTGGCCCTTTATTTTTGCCTCCCACAGAGCAATCAATTTATGTAATGGCCTTTGTGCATGCCCATCTTCCTTCCCAGTAATCTCCTTAAGGGCAGCTAGGGGTCTTCCATCTTCCGTGCAGTGCACGGGACAGCCCTGCACATAATGGCTGTGAAACAATATTGATTAAATGGTTAAGTGCTGAATGAGTAAATGCTAGAAAAATAAATAATGGCCTCCTCAGGGCCTGAGGCTCTAGGCCTGACTCCACCACTAATTAGATATATGCTTCTCTTCTAGGTCTCTGTTACCTTAGCTGCAAGTTGAGAAGATTGGCTTAGATTATTTCTAAGGCACCTTCCAGAGCTAATACCTTATGAAGATCAGATAAGAACACAGAATGGTAACTAGAACCCTCTCTGGCCAGTCCTAAGCAGGAGGATGGTATTCTCCAGGGAACCACTAGGCGGCAGGTGGAAGGAGGCAAGCCAGAGGCCGTGCTGCTTCCTCTCTCAGAAAGCAGGAGGTAAGTTTCTGGGTTCCTACTCTGAAGTAGCAAACTCCATCAGAAGCAGTCTTTTCTCTAGACTCTGCACTTTTAGGCTGCTCTGATGAAACAGAGGTCCTGTTTCTCAAGTAGCACACAGCCCACAAAATGCAAAAGCACCCAGCAACAGAATGCAAAAGAGGCCAGCTTGAAGGGAGGGCAAGGGGTCTTGGGTATTTTGATTCATCCCTCTCCTATTTCTGCCACCAGTTTGGCTTGTGATCCTTTGTCTGTTTCAATAAAAAACAAGAATTAAGTAACTTTATTTTTTATCTTTACCCAAGGACACTTTTTTGTTGCTTTTGTAGAGAGAGAAGGGAGAGAGAGAAACATCCATGTGAGAGAGAAACATTGATTGGTTGCCTCCCCTATGCACCCAGACCGGGATTGTGTGCGTCCAGGATGTGTATTGAACCTGCAACCTAGGTGTATTCCCTAACCAGGAATCAAACCCACAAGCTTTCGGTTACAGGATGACACTCCAACCAACTAAGCCTGGGTGAATTAGAGAAATTTTTAGATGATGGATAAAAACACTGCTCAGTGAGTTGGACACCTGTGACCTCCCTTCCAGGTGAAGAAAGGTAAGTCCTGGATTTATAATGCACACCACCTGAAGATGGAACTGCCCCTGGCATGTTCATGGTACAAACAAGTCATGAGACCATCCAGGAAGTTTACATCACAGGAA